AAAGTATTTTGAGTCTAAAGATGAAAATGGGACTGAGTCATCCTAACTAGAGGAAGTGTTGGAAAACTTTATGGGAAATAGATTTTGAGCAAGTCTTTGGGGCAGAGGAAGCTAAGTAGAACAAAGAGGGAAAAAGACTTTTGCCAGTATTACAGGTGAGAGTTGGAATATCACGGCTATGGTTTGGGTTATGGGGAGGGAAAATGGAGCAGAAAACAAGGTGGCGTAGACATGTAGGGATGAAGCCCAGGGGGTCCTGAAGGGTAAGATGAAGGGTTTGACATGTATATTGCTTTTCTTTCTAAGGAGGCCAGAAGGGACACTGAGTAGATGCCCCAAGTCCTGGGAATTCCCACGATGTAGATATGACTAACCTTGACTCTTTGCCGATAGGCAATGCTTTGAAGACTTATATTGGCTCTGTTTAGGGCTCTGAAATCCCTATATTTGTCACTTTCTTGTTTAGGAAATCTTTGAAGACTCAAGGGGGCATATCTGATAGTAGTTTTGTGTCCAGAGGCTGGAACTTGAGCAGGGGCGAGGTCAATGGTGGGGACTAAGTGGGAGATTCTGGCAGAGTTAGAACTCTCAAGAGTGGGCAAAACTGGCAGGGACCTTGGAGAGGAGAAGATGCTGCGACTAAGGTAGATGTGGCAGGCTAGAGAGATGGCTCAGTTGGTAAAGTGCTTACAGCACAAGCATGAAGACCTAAAATTGATCCCTAGTACCAATAGAAAAAATATGACTGTGGTGACATGTGGCTATAGTCCCAACACTGAAGAGGTTAAGATAGGAGGATGCCTGAGGCTCACTGTCAGCTGATGCAGAGAGTTCCTAGTCAGATGAGAGACCCTGTCTCAAAAACAAGGTGGACATCTCTGAGAAATGGTACCAGAGGATGACTTCTAGTCTCCATATGTATGAGCACACATGTCAAAGTACACATGGACACATATAAACATAAGCACATCCCAAACACAAACATCGTTAGGGTATCAAGTCCAAAGGCCCGGAGCTCAGTCCTAGTTGCCACTTCTGTCACCTAGAAGCCTGCCTCAAAATAATCCTCGGGAAGAAGACTTTCAGAGCTCTTGCTATCAGTGGAGATAGCAAGCTTTTCAAAATTTCTTGCTACAGAAGAGCTTGAGGATGACCTTTGGTTCATGGGAAAAGACTTGGAATTTGTTCACTATGGAATTAAGAGTTCAGAACAAACAAATATGCAGGAATTATATAACATGAATTTTGTAAAATTCTTTAAGCCGATGTAATACTTCATTTACTATTTTTGAGTGCATCGTCTAAGCCAGAATATAGCATTACCTCATCTAAGGGCAGGGAGTATATGCTTATTTATGTGTAAGTCTATGACCAATGGAATGCTGCCGCTTAAAGAGTAGGCACATAGTAAATGTTTGCTGAGTGAATGTCAAAATAATTTTCTTGGTTCTATGTCTCAAACATGGACTAAGTTTCCTCAGTGTATGAGGCATGCCTACTTGAAATACATTGACAGCTAGCATTTAGCAAACTCTTGTTATTGACCAGGAACTAGGCTTAATTCCTTTCCTATAAGACTCACTCAATCTTTACAACCAACTTTATTAAAAAGATCAAATGGATACTGTTACTGCAGCCTTTTAATTTTTATGCAAATGGAGGCACACAGAATCCAAGTAGTTCTACTATGGTTCACACGGAAAATAGATCACACAGGATTTATTATTTATTTGTTCATTTGAGACAGAGTCTCTTTATGGAGTGAGGACTACAACTCTCTTTATAGCCTGAGTTGATCTCAGCCTATCCTCCTGCCCCTGGCTCTTGAGTGCTGGGTTACAGGTATGTGCCACCACCCTGGCTAGTGACACAGGATTTAAGTTTAAGTTGTGTGACTCCAAAGCCACCATAGTTAGCTAATGCAGTGTTCTTTGACTGAAAGAATAATCATTAGCAATCATTTATAGGGTAGAATATGTTCAAAGCATAGCTAAGAATTCTTAAATGCTTTCTAAGTGACAGACACTAAGCATTTTCCTCTTTAATCCTTAGCTGACAGACATAATCTGCCTCACAGAGTAGATACTATATGTGCCTGTTTCACTGATAAGGAGCAGGACAGAGACCTTTTAAACCTAACTTACCATTCCCACTGTACATGACCACCAGCTTGTCATTCCCATCATACATGACCAATTTCCCTGTTTGGTGACAATACAGGAACCCCCCTTCCCTGAAGTACATATCTTACTTTAATAAAACTATTTGGATTTGACATGGAACTGAATTTCATCCAACACTGTATTTGGATAGTAACATCCCCAAATGTCCTTTATGTGCACCTGTTGGCTGTAGATTAGTCAAATTCCTAAAAAGTAGTTAGAAATGGCAAAGAAGTTCATCCTTAGAGCAGTATCATGGAAAGAAGTGAGAATTTAAGATTAAATGGAGATGGAGTCCTGGTTCACCATGTGCTTGCTATGGGAACTTGGAGGTCATTTTCACTTTCCATGCCCACATCTCAGTCACATTTATACAACAGGATGGTAATTATCCTGCCTTCATAATGTTATATGAATATGGATGGATATAACACACATAAATCCCTTATGTGTCACCCTGCCTTCTTCTCACTCCTGGTCATCTTTTCTTTCTTTCTTTCTTTCTTTCTTTCTTTCTTTCTTTCTTTCT